ATTCTTTTTTGTTACTGTAAAATAATTTTTTAAAACTGTACTAAATTTAGTACAAAGGGCTAACGGATACCCATTAACATTAATTGTATAAATGATGAGTCGGACGAACAATCCGATAATGAATTTGAAGAACAATTGGAGCTTTATGAAGGTAAGCATTTGAAATGCTCATAGCAAAATCAGAGAATGGGACTATACAATATATAGTCCCATCCCCTGATTTTGCTGTGAGCGTTTCATTTGTAAGCTCTGTAATTTTAGAAATCAAAAAACAAATTTACAACATTTTATGTTATCAGGACAAACGTTTCAAACAGCTGAGGAAGCATATGTTATAGTTGAGTCCTTTGCTTATTCAAATAGATTCGGAATTCGGAAGGGACGTGTTGAAAAGGATTCAAGTAATGGGCGTAAAATTTCAAAGTCATTTATATGTCGTCATGCTGGAAAACCGTCAGACAAAAACAAATCATATAAAACAGAAGAATCTGGCTCATGCCGAACTGATTGTAAATGGAAAGTCAATATATACTGGAATAAGTGTTCAAATAGATATCGTATATCTACCTTTACAAGCACTCATACTGGTCATACTCCCGATCCTACCACCATACAATTTATTTCCAAAAATTGAAAGCTTACTGATGAGATGTTAAAAGATATTGAATTTTATACTTTATCAGGAAAAATTAATGCAAGTGCTCAGTACTGGCTTTTTCTGGAAAAGTACAAAGTTTCTATTCATCGTAGCAATTTATATAACGCAATTACAAAGGTTAAAAAAAAGAATTCTTATAGTGACAATAATGCATCACAGTTGTCTAAACTATTTAAAAAAAAGGAGGATTCAAGATGGGTCATTGAATGGCATTTTGATCCAGATACTAGTGCTTTGACACATCTTTTTTGGATGTCACCAAATCAACTTGATCTTTGGATGCGGTATAGCGACATTGTCCTTCACGATAACATAGCAAAAACCAATGTTTATAATATGCTATTATCCCTTTTTATCATTATAGATAATACTTACCGATCCCGCCTTGTTGCACAAGCAATATTGGATGATGAAACAG